GCTAAGGCCTCCATTCTTTTTTCAACAGAGACAAATCGCTACCTCAGAATTACAGAATTCTGTCTCACGTTGTTGGCCGTTTCGATTAACTAAGAAGAGCATAAGGTCAGAAATCATATGATTATGCTCTATCTCTACTCTATTATTACTTTAAATTATTCTGATATTTTTTTAACATGCATTCGAAAAAGCTTGAGATATTGTGAAACTCAAATTTCTCTTACTGAGCAGGCAGAACTTTGTAATTCTTAGGAAGTGAAATGCGACTTACATGGCATTGGACTCTGTAGAAAACTCTCTCCATTCATATTTTCCAGTTCTTTCCAATTCTTGTATTTCCTCACATCATTCACTAATCCAAAACTCTCGAACCTTAAACTAGTTAAATTACAGTTGATGATTCACTTCTTGACTAAACCGGGAAACCATTGTGTTTTCATAGCTACCTGGCAATGTAGGCATTCGATTAAATGAGCAGGTCGATCTTCTGGCGAAGGATCAGAATCCTTGTCCCTGCCTTTTGGGATAATTTTTCCTGACACATAATTATTACACCTCCTGCAGGCAGATGAAAAACGATTTTGTATCCAATGTAAAACCGACCTAACGATCCGGCGTCTTAATACAGTGTCCAGGCTTTGGGACTGAAAAGAAATTTTTCGAATGCACTAATGTGAAGAATTTGATCTCTATCGCTTATCGCAACGGAATTTTCCTTTGTGGGAAGACCATTGGTATTTTCTAAAAAGATGTTAATAATAGTAATATTGTATAAATGTGAATGACTATTTACGGCTGAATTTTTACTGTGAAATTGTCAACTCCAAACAATCTATTTTTACAAAGTACAACCAAACCATGGTGTGAACCAACGTGAAAACAACCAACTTGAGTGCCTCGTGCTCATAACCGGGGGACTATCGTGGCCTAGAGATTACGCTGGTCGCCTCTCATTCAATAGGTCACGGGTTCGGAACCTGACGGCGACGCAAAATGTTCTTCTCTAAAATTTTCTCCTTTCAGATCCTTTCCTGTTTTGTAATACAGGGTGCCCATTGGGGGATCGGGTCTGGTCGGGTCGGTTTGCTAGACAGATTGAGGGCACAAAGTGGCTATCGTGGCACAAGCCGATCGCGCCCGACTCGTTGCCTCAAAAACAAATGCGTTTGTTTTCAGGAAATGGGTGGAGCGATCGCCCAAGACCAGACCCGACCCGACCAGATCCCTTCTGCAATGAACTCCCCGTATAACAATGTTCTGTCGTCTGCTTTACCCTCCAATTTCTGCCTCCACCTCCCCCACCCCTTTTATCCCTTCTGCTGAGCTCCTGACTCTTTCTGCAGCCTTTCTACACCTACTCTTCTTCTTACTGCTGTCTTCCAGCCACACACCTGATCTTAGGGTAAGTAAGATCAAAAACCTACCCTTCATGGATAAGGGCAAAACAATCTCGGAGGTCCCGTGTGCAAGTTGTGCAGCTTAAAGATCCCTTGGTGGTCTAACATCGATGAGTAGGCTTCCGTCGCCACGCGAACAAAATTCAAAATTGATACCCCCCCCCCCCTTAAAAAAAACAAAAACAAGTTTCATGTGTCCCCTTCGCTCATACAACCTTATGCAATTGCGGCGCCGTAAAACATTTACCAAAACAAAATATGCGTTTCACATGACATGCTCTGTCGCGATCAGGGTAAGAATAAGCTTTCATAATGTGTCTATTTTTAAAGTAATTTAAAGAAAAATAAGAACTAATTGACCGTAAACCGAGTCAAGAGGAAGAGGTCTCTACTCCGTCTCTGACAGGCTCCTTGCCCCTCTCTAGTCCCTAATAGGAAGAGCTATTGGAGAGGAAAGGTCTTGCAAGGTGACTCTACTCTTGTCAGTTGTACCCTGGGCCCGGCACACCGGGCATCAGTAAATTTGGTACTGCCGATAATGTAGTGCTGTCGTAGTGTGATGATCAGACGTTCCAAGGATGGCTACGGTTTACGACAGTTGGTTCTCCTCTTTTCCAAAGAAAGTCTGTTTGTTTTTTTTAAATCGTGACACTAACTTTATTTAAAGATGTTTAGAACTTTTAGTGCAAAAGTGTTCACTTTAAAGTTAACCTATTGTGAAATGTTTTGCCACTAAAAATTGTCATTGGTTAGCTGTGACGTAGACTGTGGACCATATAGCGTGTTCAAAATGTGTATGAGAAGCGGGAAGTGCTGTGAACTTTTCCAATCTCCGTCTGACGGAGATTTATAGTATTTTATATAAATTTAGAACGAAAAGTTTTTTTAAGCTAGCCAGCCTCAAAATTGTTATGGAAAAATATGATTATAGTACGGTCAAAATGGTGCAACTTGTCTTCGAATATCTCTTATACGGGTGAATTACCGTCATTCATACTTTGCTCAGCAGTTTGTATCAATTTGTCTTAACTTAGGGTTAAGGTTAGGGTTAGGGTTAGGGTTAGGGTTAGGGTTAGGGTTAGGGTTAGGGTTAGGGTTAAGGT